AGAAAAAGAGAAATATAAGCACAGATGTGAAGCAAACTATGAAAATATATTTTATAGCTCTATGGCAATAAATTCTTAGGACCCGGAGAAATGTACAGTTTTCAAGGAAAATGAATTCAATAAGAACTAGGAAGCTGAAACAGACATATTTATGGAAGATATTTTTTAATGTTTAATTAGCTAACTCCAAAAGAGGAGTTGGATCCAGAGAGTTTTATGAGCAAGCTCTTGAAAACTTTCTAGTAACAATTCCCACATTATTCAAATTGTTCCAAAATTACAGAATGATGAAACACTTCCCCAATTATTTTTCAAAGTTAATATAAACAAAGCCAACATAGCAAAGAAAATAATTTCACTTGCTTTCACTAAAATGGTGGCAACATCAATCCAACAGTACACAAATAATTTTTCAAAACTAAAAAAGGTTTATTCTAAAAATTCAAGGATGGTCCTAGCCAGTGTTGCTCAGTGGATAGAGCATCAGCCTGTGGACCCAAGGTTCTGGGTTTGATTCCTGTCAATGGCACATACCTTGGTTGCAGGCTCCTCCCCAGATCAGGCCCTGGTCAGGGCACACGAAGGAGGGAACCAATCGATGTGTTTCTATCACATCAATATTTCTCTCTGTCTTTCCCTCTCTCTTTCATTCTCCCTAAAAGTTAATGGGAAAATATTCTCGGGTAAGGATTAACAAAAAACTTAAAAATGAAAAATAAAAATTCGAGGATTACTTAATACTAGGATTTTTATTAAAAACCTTGTCTCAGCGCACAAAAGAAAAAAAATTTTCTGATTCTTTTCACTGTTGCTCTAAGGCATTTGAAAACTTTAACATTTATAGCTGATAATACCATCAGTAATATAAAAACATCCCATATCATGAGAAGGAATAGTCATCTCAAAAACCAAAGGCATTTCCTTTTAGTGTCAGAAGTAAGATATCCACTACACTATTATTGCTACTGTTCTGATGTGTTTGGGAATATTAGGTCTAGCACCAGATAAGTTATATTTTGACCTGGACAGGAAAAGTTTTAGGTTTAAAAAAAAAAAAAGTGTTATGTAACTATAGAATGGATGTTATTAATGAAAAAGAAAAATGTGGTTAAAAAATAACAGGAAAGGGGCAAAACCACCGTTTAAAAGGAAAACATTTTTCCAGATGACTCTCAGACATGGAAACCTCAAGGAGTGGAATATTTGTAAGGAGTCTCTGGGGCAATTCCTCTGGGGCCCTGTGACTCCCCATCTCCTCCAGCAAATAACACTTTCTCACTTTGCCCACCAAACTGACACCTAAAGAAGTTGACACCTGTGTGCTTTAGATATAAAGCTGATTCAATTTACAGTATAGTAATTTGAATTTATGCCTTACTACTGTTTGAAATACAATTATGTGATCATACTTGGGGTTTGTTTTGGTTTTCTCATAGTGGGTCATTTTTATTTTGTTTTTAATTTAGCAGAAAAATAGGCAAGTAAAAACAAAGGGAAAATCTTGAAGAGGATGAGTAATTAAAGCATACTATGCTATTAAAACATTATAAAAATGCAATAATTAAAATAGTGTGGTATGGCTCAAGAATAGAGAGAAAAGTCAAGAAAATAGAAAGCAAACCCAGAAGCAGGCCTAGTGTGTGTGTGTGTGTGTGTGTGTGTGTGTGTGTGTGTGTAGGAGGGGCAAAAGTAATACAAAATAATGTGTTTCATATACTCGCAAATGTAAACCTACTTTTGTCCCACCCTGTGTCTCTCACACCCAACCTCCCACGGCCGGCCAACCTCCTGTGGCCCCTCGCCCTGGCCGGCCAACCTATATAGTAAATAATAAAGGTGGCATTTATTATATAGATCAGTAAGGACATAATAAATAATTAGACGAGTGGTGCTGTAACAAATGAATATCTGGTAAAAGATAAAAAACTAGATTGCTCCCTTAACCCCCCCCCCACACACACACACACACAAACCATATATAAACTTTCAGATAGATTAAATAATGAAATGTTCCATAAAGGTATAAAAGAATATACATAAATATCTGATCCTATAATAAAGATATGGAAAAAAGTATGTAATATTTATGTGCAGTGTATATATTAGGAAGTTGAATATTATTTAGAATATATATGAGAAATTTGAATAATACGTGATTGTGCGCGTGTGTGTGTGTGTGTGTGTGTGTATGAGGAACTTGAATCTACAGGTCTGGTAATGGACATAGTGTGCAATAATTGAGACAAAACCATCTAAGATGTCTTCAAGACAATGATAGCACAATTTTCTTAAATAAGAAACCTGGAGAACTAGGCTGGGATGGGGTTTCATGATGAACTGGACTTTGGATTTGTCTGTATGTATGTGAAGGGTTATTTCAATGTAATTGTTGAAACAGAATATTTCAGATCATTGAGGAGTTATTGACATTAGTGGATGCAATTACAGAATACTATTTCAAAAATAGAACTTATATCTATAGAACAAATGCTATGAGCATAATATGAGTCAAATGTGAAAATTCCTGGTTGGTGAAAATTCTGGCTTAGCCTTATATGGGAACACTCCCCACCCCCTACCCAGTTATAGGAAAGAAGGAGAAAGAAATAAGTGTCTTTGAAAGTGGGTTTGCAGGACAAAGAACAAAATTCAGTGACTGCTTTTTGATGACTAACATTTTCGCCTCAAAAAATTGACTGAAGAGAGTGAGAGAACAGATAATGGGTTGGAATTTGTAACACAGCCTGGGGGCAGCATAGACTGAAAACACAGGTTTTCTCCGTGGCACTGATGGCCAGAGATGTTGACGATCATGAATTTACTTGGTGATAACAAGGACGATTCAGAGGTTTCCTCCCAGAGGTCTCAACAGACCAGGAAGAGTAAAGAAGTTGAAAGTTTGGTTTAGAAGAGTAAGTGCCATAAGAGAACAAGCCAGTGAGTGTCAAGTGTGGTGGGAAACATGAATCGTGGGGTCTGGAACTGAGGAGGAAAGAAAGAGGATCAATACTGGAGCACAACAAAATGATGCAGAAATTGACAGTCTCAGTAAGGTTCAAAAATAGATGTATCAAGGAAATGAGGGCCATAGACAGGAAATCATGATCAGAGATGAACTGTTAGAGTTCAGGGATTCAGGAGATCATACTATTGCTCACCTTTTTTTTTTTTTAGTTAATATGGTGTGGTAGTAGTTGCCCCTCCTCAAAGATGCCCATTTCCTAATCACCAGAGCCTTTGAATATTACCTTTCAGAGCAAAAAGGACTTTAGGTGTGATGAAGTTAAGGATTTTGAGATGTGGGGTTTACACTAGATCAGTGGTTCTCAACCTTCCTAATGCTGCGACCCTTCCTCATGTTGTGGTGACCCCCAACCATAAAATTATTTTCATTGCTACTTCATAACTGTAATTTTGCTACTGTTATGAATCATAATGTAAATATCTGATAGGCAGGATGTATTTTCATTGTTACATAATTAAAGCATAGTGATTAATCACAAAAACAATATGTAATTATATATGTGTTTTCCGATGGCCTTAGGCGACCCCTGTGAAAGGGTTGTTCGACCCACAAAGGGATCGCGACCCACAGGTTGAGAACCGCTGCACTAGACCATCCAGTGCATCCAATGTAATTACACATATCCTTCTAAGAGGGAGGCAGGAAGGTCACAATGAGAGAAAAAAAATATGACAATGGTATCAGAGATTGAAATGATATAAGGAAGGGGCCACAGCCAAAGAATTTGTGGACACTAGAAACTCAAAAAAGACACAGAAATGGATTCTCACCTGCACCCTCAAAAGTAATTCCACCCTGTTGACACCTTGATTTTAAGCCTTTTAACCTCCAGAGCTATTAGGTAATAAATATGAGTTTTAAGCCACTAAGTTTGTTGTAATTCAGAAAACTGACACATATGTTATCATTAAGCATTTTTACATATTTATGTGAGCTATTCTTGTATTATGCTAAAAAAATAGCGTAATAACCACAGGGTAATATCTAAAACTCATATTTGTGACTTTCTAATAATTGAGTGGCCAATACTGTTGTCTTTCATTAAGCCAAACCAATTATCCAGTGCTGACAAGCTGATCCAAGTTAATCAAACTCATCTTATCTCATCTGATTTATTGAAATGGAAGTGTTGAGGATCATTGATGAAGGCCCATGGAAACATTCAAAACATTTGGGTGCTTTCATGCCTACTCATAAACTAAGCAACAAAATGTTTGAGGCAGATGACCCTAATTTCAAGCACAATTCAAGGGATTTTGGAGTAATGACAAATGCCTTTGCTTGTTATAGAGAGACTTGCCAGGAAGAGAGATGTCCAAGCTTTATTGAAAATATGTTTTTAAAACCTCAGTCAAAACAATCCATGCAGTAAAAGTCTCTCAAGGGAATTTTGCAAGCATATAAAATCAAACGCAACATAAAAGCTTTTTAAAATGCTATGTCTGGTTTTGCATATACACACAAGCATATTCATAAGTTCAATTAGAATAGTCTCAACATAGATGTGCGCAAGAATGAAATCTGTTCATTTTTAAGGAGCACTAAACGTTCTGGGATCTACACCCTACA